TTATTAAGAATAAGCTAATTTAAGCTACAAGTAAAATGCTATGCTATTTACAGCAAACTACTTTCCTAAAACTAATCAGAACTCACTCAGTTACTTTTTAGCATCTAAATATGATCTGCTATAGCAACTATTTCTCTCGTAAAAGTTTAAATTTGTATATACAAATCTTTAACTCTTAGTTAACAAGAAGCTGTTACTAGCCTATATCAAAATCATCTAAGTATAAAAAAAAATAAAAAATAAAAATAAAAAAATAAAAAAAATGAAATTATATATATAGAAGAAGTCAACAGAATCCAGACAAATTTTTTATTAAAATTTTTCTTGAACTTTGAATATCTCAACAAAAACCTAACCAATTTTGATGATTTGGTATTCATTTTAATTCTGCAAGTTTGCAGAATTAAAATAAATACCAAATCATCAAAATTGGTTAAGTTTGTATTGAGATATTCAAGTTCGCTAATTTATTCTGATTTTTTTTTTTTTTTTTTTTTTTTTTTAGAGACCCATAAATGATTTATTAAGGCGTATGCCTTCTTGTCAAAGGTTATTCAACGTTCAACGAATACAGATCTTGAAATTATTAAAGGACCGGGTCCCAGGATTTAGGTCACATATAACTATCATGTGATTTAAGGATCGAATCCTCTACTGTAATCAGCCAATCAAAATTTAAGGATCGACTACCAATCAGATGGATTTTTAATCATGCCCCTTTTTCGAGTTATCGTTATCGAAATATTTTACGTAGAGCTATATTAGCTTCAATATATGTTGCAAACGGATGACGAAAATTTGAATAAAATGATAAATGAGACAAAGGTTGGTTAGTTATTTTATACTTGTATAAGATAAAAGCTAATTATTATCTATTTATTTCAGGCGTGGTTTACAGTTATAGCATGGCTTGATCCAAATAGAAACAAAAATATCGACAATAAAACAGAGGGTACATTTTCTTTGAAGAAATTTTAATTGGCTTGTTAACTAATAAATTGATCGGATGGTTATTTATAAAAATTGATTATTAGCACCTTCAGAGGTTAATAACTCTCTGGAAATTCTCCAACATACTCTATTGGCAAAACGACTAATGGAGTGGTATCTTGGTATTTGTTTTCCGCGCATTTATATCGATCTCTTTTCAGCGTCCTTCCATAATTAATCATAGTGGCCACAAACGTAAAAAAAAAAAAAAAAAAAAGTTGCAGTGTGTCGGCATTTTTCAGAAACTTTCGATACAAGACTAAAAGAATGGCGTGAAACATGGGTGGCACGTAACTTTTATTGATGACAAATATTTTAAATATATATCATTAATCTTAAAATAAATAATCACGTATATAGAAATTACAAGAGGAGATCACAATAACCAATTCTGAGATATTGGAGAATTGGATTAGTAAATCTTACGAGGAAATTATTCACGATATCTATTCACATTTTAAGAGATGCGAAAATTCATTATTTCTTATTCGTGCTAGGTTTGCATAAAATTATTCAAAATTTTGTTAAACTTTACTACTATTACTAGCTGACGAACAATTTAATTCAATAATAAAGTGCCGATTTTTTACATCATTTTCGGATTCAATATCATACAAATCTCTATTCTTTACTTAGTGGTGATTCTAAACCATTTTCTGCCATACCTTCATTGTTCAAGGACATGTCCAAAATACTGTTTCGGGCTCATTTTCAGAAATTTAATAATATCATGGAGCTATATCAACTTGAAAACGGGCAATCAGTTTTTCAAAGAGTCAAGCATCCCATTGAAAAATATGAATCTGAGCTTTTTGCCTGGAAAACGTTGGATAATATAAGCGTCATTTTTTCAAAGCAAGAAAACGATTCTTTTAATAGTGAAAATAACAATTCAATAGCGATGGATCTTGATGATATGGAGGTTTTAAGCGAAAAAATAGAAACCTCACAAAACGATGTAGAGCCGAGCTTGGTTGAAGACTTAAATAAAGAAATATCTGTTTTTTCACAATTATATAATGAAATGGTCGTTTTGGGTTTAATCCAGCGTACTAAAGATACATTGGAAGAAACGTTATGCGAGCAGATTGAACTTAGGATTTTAAATACATGTAAAGGTACATTCAACAAACCAATACTTCGTTCTTCATCGAAATGGTTGTATTCGGTTGTCTACTATTGGTTACGGATTGTTCTATCATCAGACTCCCAAACTTCGGCTGACTCTATAGAAGGTAATAAACGTTACAATAAATAATTTATTTACTTGATTTTCCTAATACATCTCTTGCATATAAGATGCATTAGTCACATGGTCAAAACGATTAAACTACCATTTTTGCATGATGTTTTGTGATCTACGGTACAAGTATAATTTTATTTATTCCTGCACGACGAATTTTTAATACTATCCAATTCTAACGAATGTTGCTAAAGAATTTCGGAATTGTTTGACGTGATTGTCGACTTTCCTGAATCAAAATCCGCGATTAATGATTTAATTGTGAGTCCAAATATTAAAATCAGGATTTGATATCATGCATTTATCTGAAAATTCTGCATATTTACATATTATTCAGATATGTATGAGACGATTAGATACAGATTATAGACATCGTCTTGTCCATTCCTTATATTTGGCGTAAGTTTGTATTATTTATTATTTAGCAGCTATCTACACTGATTTTGACTTTCTATTTATAGATTTAGGAAAAGATTGCTTATTCCTGGCGCAGGGACGAATGATATAATCAATACTTATATATCAACTGTCAAATGTTTGAGATTATTGGATCCTTCTGGTGTGTTATTAGAAAAGATCACTGGGCCGATTCGGAATTACTTGCGGTATGTAATATAATATACGATCTGCATAGAGATCGAAATTTTTTGATTAATTATATGAACGATCAGTCATTTTTCATTCTTTTTAGAATTCAATAGTGTTCTAAAAATGATAAATTGGGATTTTGTTGTAATTTGATTATATTACCAAAAAAAAAAAAAAAATTCAGTGAAAATTATTATGTTGTGATCTATCACCATCTCTGTAAACAGTTAAATTTATCGATGGTTGAATTATTTATTTATATAGAACACGCGAAGATGCTGCGCGTTTCTTGGTAAACAGCTGGATGGACGATGAAAGTAATAATGAGCTGATTGAAGAGCTTGGACGTACGGAAAATCCTATTGAAGATCGTGATGATTTTGGTGTTTCTGATGATAATTGGGTGCCGGATCCAATGGATGCTGGCCCTGGTTGTATTTCTTATTCAAACCTTTTATTATTCACGTTGAATTTATACTTATACTTTAAAGTTTAAATTCAGACTACAAATCGTCCATGTATCGTTCAGCAGATATCACCAATTTACTTGTGAGTCTTTTCGATACTACGGATGTGATTACAGAAGAAATTCAAAATCAGATGGCATCTTGTTTGCTATCGAAATTGGATTATGATACAGGAAGAGAGGTATTATTCATAGACACGATATCATTACAAGTTATATGTATTTAATGTTTCTAAATTTATTACAGCAAACTAAACTCGAATTGTTTAAATTACGTTTTGGGGAAGCAAAAATGGCTCCCACGGAAGTCATGATCAAAGATATTGCCGATTCCAAAAGGATTGATACCAATATATACAATGAAGTATCAATATCCAAAGCAGTCGGACTGGAAAATGTCAAAGAGGTATGTATGTATTCTATTCAAAATCATTTTATATCTGTGAAGTACTAAAAAAATTTCCCGAAAATGGGTTTCAGGCGGTGTTACACGGATTAATTATCTCAAAACTATTTTGGCCTACTCTTAAAAATGAAGATTTCGTTATGCCCAAACCCATATCAGAGTATGATTAATATTGTTCATGTATTTTATACTTAATTGGTAATACTCGGTTAATGATTGTTCTTCGTTATACTTTAGGGATATGTTGAAATATGAAAACGCTTTTCAAATTTTGAAACCTAGGAGAGAGCTACAGTGGTTATCATCGCTTGGCAAGGTTCACGTAGAGTTAGAATTACAGGATCGTGCGCTAGAATTTGAAGTTGCTCCGATATATGCGACGATCATTTATCACTTTCAAGAACAAGGTAGATACTAATTATTTGCGTCACTATTTTATATTTCAATTGGATATATTTTTATAATTTATATTTTCTAGACACATGGGATCTACATCTATTAGCTGAAAAAATGAATATCGATCCTTCGAAATTACGAAGCAAAATGGGTTTCTGGGAGGATCGTGCCGTTTTGAAATTGATCGCAGACGATAAATGGATCGTACTTGAAACCATCGAAGCTTAGAGTTCCGAACCAGATGCAAAATTTTGTCACCCTGGTCTCTTGCATGATCCTTACTGCATATACCGGGTGGGTGAAAGGTTTCTGGACAGGACCTTTTCTACCATCTCCACTAAAACAATTTTTAATTTTATGTAAATATATGCTTAATTTTAAATTTTTTAAAATAATAATAATAATAATAATAATAAATTTTATGCACGTGGGTTCTACACATTGCCTATAAAGCATGAAATGACGTCATAACTTTGTGTTTGCAATACTAGTAAAAGCGCGTTATTTGCTCATGTGATCTGATTAGTCGAATTTGCAAGAACGGAATGTGTGACAGGTTATACTAATTGATCAACATCGGCCTATATTAAATAGGTTTTGATGTTAGGGTTATATTAGAAGTTGGAAAGAGGATTTAGGCAAATACTATACCAAAATTATGTATAGAATTTTTTTTTTCTTAAAGTACCAAGAGCAGTTTCAGGCAAAATTTTGAAATAGAATATATTTTTTTCTTAATTTTGCCGATCAACCTGTTACACATTCCGGACTTGCGTCGAATTTTGCGGCCAATATTACTGAACCGGTTTTCAAATTTCCTTATTTGTAGATATATATGAACAGATTAAACATTTTGGATAAAAAAATAAAGTGGGATTTACTCAAAAATTTATTAAAATAACTTATTCAAATCTTTTAAGCAAAAATGTTTAAAATTAAATAAAAAATATAATTATATAATTTTTATTTCTATTACTAAAATATTTAAGGCTATAGATAGTTTGAATATTTTAGATATTTGGATATTAGACATGTCTAAAAAAGTTTTAGATATACCAAAATATACAATACTAGCTAAAGCCATATATTTATATAACTTTTGTTATTGAATTAAAATTAGAGTTAGGATAAGTTTAATATTAGACTTAGGGTTAGAAATAAAGCTTATTTATAATAATATTATTTTCTTAATATTTTTTATTAATAGGTTTATATTTTTAATATTTTTTAATTTTTCATTTATTTTTTATTTTGTTAAGCTAATCTGTATAAACAAAAATTTTATATTTTTAATTAGTAAAAATCATTTTCTCAAAAAAGTATAATACTAATTAAATTGACTAATATTAAACTAATACTAGCTAATCTTGTTAGTATTAGATCTATCTTATAATAAAATTCTTAAAAATATAAAGATTTGCTAAAATAGAGTAATATAGTAATTGACATATATTAGCTAATCAAATTGTAAACTTATAATAAAAAAAAGTAAAGATATCATATAAACTGATTTTTAGAATTATACTAAAACATATGTAATTTAATATTTTTTTAATATAGAATAAGTTATAATATATTAATCTGTTTTGAATAATTTTACTACCAAAATGTTTGTTTTAATAAGATGATTTTAATAAGTCTAAAATTATTTAAATTCAATTATTAGATTATAAGATAACTAAAGTTTTTTGAAGAAATAATAGGCTTATAAGTATTAACAAAGCTAGATATTTTACTAGAAGATAGATCGTTTAGAAATGCTATCTTTGAAAATAAGCTAAATACGCATATGCAAAACAGAAAATTGCTTATTAGAGGACTTACAAGTATCAAACAACAAAGAGAGATTATGAAGTTAACTAATTCAAAAAAGAAAGCAAACAAAATATTATTAATTTTCTTAGATCAATTTTGGACATGCTTTTTTGAACAATTATAGAAGTTTTAATGTGAAATTATGATCAAATGGGAAAAAAGAAACAATATCTCAGCAAGGAAAAAAAAGACAAAGTGAAGCAAATCTAGACAAAGAAAACTGCAGATCACCCAACGCAGAAAAGAAAACAAAAAAAGAAAAAGAATCTACTATTCAGAAAGAAGCAAGTAAAAGAATCAACAAATAGATTGCTTATAGTTCTAAGGAAGAGTGGTCACATTTTAAAATAAAATAGGAGATCTTGATAAAGGCTAGTAGTAGCCCCCTAAGGATTAGGAGTGAATAGGTTATAAACATAATTTATTACTTTTATGAAGGAAATTGCTATTGCAGCAGATCACACTTGAGCATCTGAAGTAGTGATTGGACTCGTCTAAAAAATCATTACTCAGGTGACCCGCGGGTTTATCTGTCAGATGACCTGAGTGATCGATGGGTATACCTGAGTAAAATTTTTACTCGTTGTACCTAGGTGGTTTCATAGTCAGACATTCGTTTGATTGGCTAATGTAAATCAATTACTCGGGGTATTTAAACTAAGATTGAAAATGTGTACCATGTTGTTGCGCAACAATGGCTTGAGAAATTAATTAAAAAAAATATAATAACAAGCTTCTAATCTTTAGAATAAATTTAAACAGTCATTTTTAGCTTACTTTTTGTTTATTTTATTTTAACTAGAGATCCCATCAAAATTTTGTATAGAACAATTATATAAGCTTCAAGATTTAAATTTCAATACAGTTTTATTCTCATTTATTAATGAATATGTATCATTAAGAATTTTGTTATCTTAGTACTACATAAAACAATTCGTACTGTTATTAAATGAGTTTTAGTAATTTTATCTTTATTTTATATTTATTAATTAGTTATTCTTTATTTGTATTTTATGA